GGGGGGGGGGGGGGGGGGGTCGGTGGGCAGAGCAACGTTGAAAAATGTTGAGGTTTCAGTGTTTTGGGTTCTGAGTTTTCGCTTTCTTGTACGAAGCCTAAACCCTAAACCCTAAATCCTATGACGCAGTGATGTCTGTTGCGGCCCGCTGTTTTCTAAGACTCCGAGGCGTCGATGTATCACAATAGCGTTGGCAGAGTGCTACGGTTTTGTGAACATGGGTTTTCTTAATTTGTTGTGTTTAGGGTTTAGGGCTGACACTTTGTTGTTAGGGGGGCTTCAACCGTTGGTTTAATGTTAGAAGTGCTAGAACTGCAGCAGCATTGCTGACCGTCATCGCCGGCAGAAGAGGCACTAAAGGTAGGTTGTATGCACCGGGGACATAGTGGAGTGGATTCTTACAAAAGCCCGTCGTAGTCTGACGATTCCCACCTCCACTCTCCCATTAGCAGCAGCACCAGTAGCTGCAACAGGGAAGAGGAATGCAAGGGCTGCAACGAAGCCAAGATGCTGTGCAAACACTAAATACTTGGAGGGGTTTCGGGCTTTTCTTAAACCCCAACCGGCTTAGAATCCATAATCCGAGTCCATCAATTCGAGGGTCTTGCTTCGAAAAGTTCATACTCCCCCTGGACCTGGACCTCAACTGTAGAACCCTTTTGTCGTTCGCCTAGTTTCCTTCATTTGGGTCCCTGGCGGAATGTTGAAGGAAACCATCGTTTGGCAACGGCAAAAGCAACAATCTGCCACTCTTGTGGGTTTCAGGTTGGCGAACCATGTCACACATGGACTGTTACCGACACGCTGCTTCTGTTTGCTTACTTGGCGTTGTATGGTTGCGAATGAATTCATGTTTAATGATCCGGCACCAAACCCTAAACAGCAGCCTTAAACCCTAAACCCGGTGCCCAACCCCTAAACCAGGACAGAGAACCTGAATCGGCTAATTCTCATCTTCGACGGCCAACATGTGTTTGTTTTTTTCATCGCTGCCTAGGTTCAGAGGAATTACGTCTTAGGGTTCAGGGTTTGCTCTGGGGGTTTGGACTTCGGGGGGGAGTCTCGTAGATGCAAAGTTGCCTGCAAAATGCGCGCCCACGCAGGTTTTAGGGGTCCCTAAACCCTAAACCCGAAACCCTAATGCTCCTGGCCACCCAAGGCGACGCACCATAAATCGCGGCAACCAGTCCAGCTCCGCGGCAACCAGTCCAGCTCTATAGGTAATCGGGAAGGAGGTTCGCAATGGTCTCTAAGCCCTAAACTTCCCAAACCCTAAATTCCCAAGCCCTAAACTTTGCGCCTAAACAGCATACGACCCCTAAGGACCAGCATGCGACCCCATAAGGACCAGTTTCGACCGCCCGCTCTCAAAGCGACACGAAGACTCCAGAGCCTCCCCAAAGGCTCGCACGACGCAGGGCTGCCACACCCCCCC